AAAATCTTTTGTTGTAGATGGACACAATACATTTATTTTATTTATTTATTTAGTACTGAGGATTGAACCCAGTGCCTCACAAATGCTAGACAAGCGCTCTACAACGGCACTACAACCCTAGCCCTGCAAAAAATTTTTATTGATGATTTCTTTCCCCTGCATTTCTCTGTTCTCTTTTTCTCGAACTCCATATTAGGAATATGTGACATCTTTGGCTGCTCTTTTAATTGTCCTATCATTTATCATTTTACATTAATGTGCTACAGAAAATTTTTCAAAAAATTTCTTCCAACCATTCTGTTGAATTTTTAATTTAAGTATCAACATTTGTTTATTCTGTAAATGTTCTTTTAAAAATACAGCATTTTGTTGGGTGCGATACGCACATCTGTAATAGCAGTTTGGGAGGCTGAAGCAGGAGGATCCTGTTTGAAACCAGCCTCAGCAACTCAGTGAGACCCTGTCTCAAAATTAAAAAATAAAAGGGAATGTGGATGTAGTTTAGTGTTGAAGCACCCCTGGGATCAATTCCCAGTACCTCCACCCCACCAAAAAAAATAAAACTAAACTAAAAATCTCAGCATTTTGCTTTGCTTTGGGGTTTACATATGTAATATTCTCTTTTATCTCTCAATGAAGGCAAAGATTTTTTGTTTGTCCACTGCTGAGTCCCTAGGTCCTTGAACCGAAATATTTGTTAAATAAATAAATAAATCTTCCTGAGGATACTCATGTTACCTTTTCTAAAGTTTTCTTTGTATAATTTGTTTCCTGTGAGTTGATTTTTTCCTGTTTTATTTTATTTTATTTTTTTTTCCTATTTATTTGTTCTGGCCTCCGAACTAGTAATTCTTGGTTTTCTATTCTAAATTTGAGAGTGTCACAATAAACATCTGATTGGGAGCACTGAACATGTGATAGGGCCTGTCGACTTTGAAACTGAATATAGGGATTTTTTTTCCTGATAAAATAAAAAATAAATAAAAATAAAAACATTTTATTTCTTACATACATGACAATAGTGGAGTGCATTACATTCATAATTATCCATTCACAGCACAATTTTTTGTAACTCTGTATATAGAGTATGTTCACGCCAAATTATGCCATTATAATATAAGAATATTTTTGAGGAACTCCTTGATGTTCATCTTTAGGTCTTTCCTCTTGAACTATCAGTTATCACAGAGAAGAATCCTCAAATATCCTTGCTTCATGGATGTGGGCCTAGCTGCCAGTTTTTAGAAGCCAAGTGGAAGAAGGAAATTGAGGACCTTCGTACATTTCTTACATTTCATTTTCTACCTGTTCCCTCCAACCTCATCTATTTTTGGTGCCCCATTCCTGTGACTTTCTAGTCTTCCCTCTTTCTTCTAAAATTTGTTATCTTCATTTTCCTTTTCTTTAGCCTTCTGGATTTATACCTTTCTAAAAATCCCTTTATTGTTATTTTAGTGGGGTTTCAGAAGTCATCTTATTTATCTAGTTCTTATATCTTTATTTTATGTTAAAATCATTACCTTACAAGAAGTCTTTATATCTTTGAATACATGTTTGGGTCACAGTCTCGTTCTCTATTTCAGAGATATTAATTATATTGAATCATCTTTGCCTTTCATTTCTATTAGATTCTAATTTATTTAACCATGTTCTTCTCTCTATTTTTCTCTTTCTCCTCCCTTTCTCTATCACTTTTTTCTTTCTTTCTTTCTAGGCAAGTGCTCCACCACTGAGTGACAGACACTCCCGAGCCCAATCATTTTCTTTTTTATCTAAATCACTGAATATCTCAAACTATTCCTCTGTGTCAGTAATTTAATTTTCAGCAATGTCTATTCTGTTCTTTGCTGTCTTTATAATTATTTAATTAATTTTGTAACTAAGTTATTTGGTCCTCAATAATTTCCATTTTAGTTCTATGATGTCCTTTTTTATTAATCTTAATTTGTTGTTTTATCCTTACATCACTGAATTCTTATTTATTCAATTCATTGTTTAATTATTTATTTTATAGTTGTAAGGAAAATTTTCTATTTCTCAAATTGTGTGTATGTGTTTTTTTTAATATAGTTTTTTCAAGGCATTTTTCATCTTTCCTTTCTTTTCTCAAACCTGAGTAGCTAATATTATAGGCATGAGCCACCATACCCAGCTACAAGGTACTTTCTTTCCTTTTATTTTATTTGCTCTCCATGTTTGTATAGTTGACGTGCTAATTCTTTTGGTCTTTTTCATGATTAAATCATGGTTCTGGCCAGAATTTCATTTGTTTTGATATAATATAGATGAATTTTTATTTCTGACCCTCCTGTATCTGAGACCAGGTACTATATGAGTGCTGGCTATTTTATATTCTATATATTTTTCTATGACTTTGGAAATGATGTTGGAAGGGCAAGGAAGGATATTAAAAAAAGACATAGCTAAGATACTGTTAAGTCTTTGTTAGAAAATTGCTCTTTCCTGAGAGTTTGTTAAAGGTTCTTGGTTCCTGCCATATAATTATGGGGCATATTCCATCCCCATGTAGGGAAATTCTGTCTGTCTGTATTTTTGCATCCATTTGTTCTTCAGGCTTAAATATTTCCTTTTGTTCAAGTTCAGTTTCATGGCTCACTTTCCCTTCTTAATCATTTATTTCCCAGTAGCTGCCCCTACTGATTCATAGCAAAGATAAAGGCAAATTTTATTTTATTTAAAAAAATTTTTTTAGTTCAACATGGACACAGTACCTTTTTTAAACTTATTTATTTATTTTATGTGGTGCTGAGGATTGAACCCAGTGCCTCACATGTGCAAGGCAAGCGCTCTACCACTGAGCCACAACCTGAGCCCCAAAGTTTATTTCTTTGTAGATTTGGGTATTTTAACGAGAATTTGCAGGATTTCATCATCATATCAATATGGCTTCTGGCGTGGAAATGGGAGCCTACTTTTATTCTTCCTATGTTCCTCACCAGAATCTTGTTTCTTTCCTTGGCTACCAGTTTTTAAACTTTATTACTTTAATTATCCTACTTCCTTTGCTGATCTTGAAACTTCAGATGCTTTTTATTTCTATTTTTTTAAAATATTTTTTTAGTTGTAGTTGGACACAATATCTTTATTTATTTTTTATTTTATGTGGTGCTGAGGATTGAACCCAGCATCTCACACGTGTGAGGCAGGTGCTCTACCAATGAGCTACAGCCCCAGCCCTCTATTTGTAATTTTCTAATTAGAAACTAGTGGTAGGAAGTTCTGTGATATAGTTTGAATAGCTATTTTAATCCAGAAGTGATTGTATGGTATTTTTCAATAGCTGTTTACTTATTTAGAAATGATAATAATAAGTCAGGTGTGGTGCCACAGGCCTATAATCCCAGTGGCTCAGGAGGCTGAAACAAGTGGATCACAAGTTCAAAGTTAGCCTCAGCAAAAACGAGGTGGTAAGCAACTCAGTGTGACCTTGTCTCTAAATAAAATCCAAAAGAGGACTGGGGATGTGGCTCATGATTAAGTGCCCCTGAGTTCAATTCCTGGTACATCCCCCAAAACATATATTAAAATAATAATAATGTGTACTGTTTTTGGTCACTTACTAGGTAAGAGGCATTAAGCTAATTAATTTATATGTAATACCTTATTTATTCCCCACAATACTCCTATTATTATCAGTCTCATTTTATAGATGAGACAATGAAGGTGCCAATATAGAACTTTTATCCTTCAATGTAACAACCTAACTGAAGCCAGATTTTAGCTTGATTTCATTAAACAATAGATTCTGAAATATCTCTCCTATTGTGCTGAATAGCAAAGGCAAAAAGTAAGGTATTTTTTTTTTCCCAATTTACTCCTCTCATATTCATTTTACCCAGGTTTCAAACATTTATTAAACATTTCGATATACTAGCATTAGGCAGAAAGTTCCATGCTAGAAAAGCAATCAGTGAATGCTAACTGAAGAAAATGTGACTGGGTTGACTATGTGTATTAAAGGAGATATCTCAATGAGACAGTATTACATATCTAGTAAAATGGTTTCTATCATAAAAAGTGAAAATATCAAATACTGGCAAGGATATGAAGAAACTGGAACCCTTATGCATTATTGGTGGGACTGTTAAATGGTACAATTATTAAGGAAAATAGTATGGAAATTCTTCAAAAAATTAAAACTAGAACTACCATATGATCCAGCAATTCCACTTCTATGTATAAATCCAAAAGAACTGAAAGCAAGGTCTCAAAGAGATATCCACATATGCATGTTCATAGCAGCACTATACACAATAGCCCAGGAGTAGAAGTAACTCAAATGTTGAACGGATGAATAGATGAGCAACATGTGATATAGACATACAATGGAATATTAGCATTAAAAAAGAAGAAAATCCTGTCATATGGTATAACATAATGAATCCTGAGGATATTATGTGAAATAAGTCCATCACATAATGACAGACAATTACTTTATGATTTCATTTATATAAGGTATCTAAAGTAGTCAAGTTAATTGAAACAGAAAATAGAATGGTGGTTATAAGAGGCTTACGGAAAGGAGAGAAAAGGGGAGTTGTCTAATAAGATATGTTATGAAATCATATTTCCAAGATGAAAAAGCTCTGGAGATCTGTTTCCTAACAATGTGAATATACGTATTACTGTACTTGTCACTTAACAATGGTTAAGATGGTAAATTTTATGTTATGTGCTTTTTGCCAAATTTTTTTTAAAGGAGGTTCTAAAACACTATCAGAAAGACAGTCATGTTCTCTCCACAGCTGCTTTACCTTATTCCTACACAGGATTTGGCTCTACCTTGTCAGAAAAGACACAGGGAAAGTTTCATGCAGTGAAGAAAAGCCTTTATCCTGTCTCCTGGGGGAAAACATTCACATACTTTTGTCAATTTCACACAATATAATCTAGTTTTTATTCCATCTTTCCCATGGTGGGTGGTTTTATTTTGTTTTAAGACAAGGAGAACTGCCAAGAAGGAAATCTCGAGGGCTTACTTCTGCAGGATGGATCCCTTAATAACCAGCTCTTCATCCAAGTCTGCTTCATTAGCCATGAAGAGCAGCCTCTTTCCTGTGTTGTCCACTCCAATGAAGTCACGCTGCTCTACTAAATCATACAAAAGAGGAAAATCAAGTAAAGCCATTTACCCCATCTTCATTACTAAGTCAGGGGACAGGGTACCTAACTGTTCACATTGCTCATGGAACCAAATGAGAGATTGAGGTGAGAAAGGAGTTGTGATGACTGTCATGTAGCACATACCACAATGTTTAAAACACAAGCACTCAAAACACTTTTTATGTGTATTGCTCTAAAGGCCATTATCAGGTTAACTGGTAAAGTTTGAATAGGTATGTGGATTAAAGTATTGTACCAATGAAATTTCCTGTTTTAAGAGACTGTCCTTTGGTGGGAGTATTGGCAGGAATCAAGTGAATGTATTTAAGGCAAAGGAGAATCAGTCTCAACTTATTCTCAAATCATTCTGAAAAATAATTTTAGATATAATATATTGCCTATGTTTATCATGTATACTGAATATATATTATAAAGAGAGAGAACGATGAACAAATGTTAGTAGTTTGGGGAATCTGAGTAAAGAATATTATTTGTACTATTCCTATAACCATTCTGTATTTGTAAATATGAAATTATTTCAAAAATAAAAAGTTAAGGGGAGGGTTGGGGGTGTAGATCAGTAGTAGAGTGCTAGCATGCAGGGGCCCTGGGTTTGAGCTCTAGCATTTAAAAAGGGTAGGGTGCAGTCAAGTAAGTAGATGACTCACAAACCTACTACATGGCACAGAACATACAGCAAGGAATTTTCTCTTTCAAATAATAACCTTAGATCATAATGAAAATTGTGAAACTGAACAGACCGGGGATTGAACAGTACTAAGCCCTAAACCAGAGGTGATCTACCACTGAGTCACATCCCCAGCTCTCCACTTTTTAAAAAAAATTTGAGACAGGATTTTGCTAAATTGCCCAGGATGGCCTTGAATTTGTGAACTTCCAGCCTCACACTCCTAAAGAGCTGGGATTACAGGCCACGCCTTGCTAGATAGTAAATACAAAAATTGTGTGTGTGTGTGTGTGTGTGTGTGTATGTTCGGGGGGGTGCTGGGGATTGACCCCAGGACTTTGTGCATGTGAGGCAAGCATTCTATCAACTAAGCTATATCCCCAGCCCCAAATAAAATATTTAAGTTAAAAAAATTACCAGGCATGGTGGCACACACCTGTAATCCCAATGGTTTAAGAGGCTGAGGCAGAAGGATCATGAGTTCAAAGTCAGCCTCAGCAACTTAGTGAGGCCCAAAGCAACTCAGCGAGACCTGTCTAAATAAAATATAAAAAAGGCTGGGAATGTGGTTCAGGGGTTGAGCCCCCTGGATTCAATTACTGGTTCAAGAAAAGGGGAAAAAAAGTTAAACAAAATACATGCTCTCATTTGATCCTCAAAATAAACAAAGCAATGCTTTAACATTTTTTTTTTTTTTTTTACAAAGCTGAAATTGAAAATTAAGTTCTAGGAAAGATGTTATCTATAAAGATGAATTTGCTTTTTAAAAAATTCATTTATTTACTTGTTCTAATTAGTCATACATGACAACAGAATGCATTTTGATTCATAGTACACAAATGGAGCACAGTTTTTCATGTCTCTGGTTGTACACGAAGTAGAGTCACACCATTCGTGTCCTCATACACATACCTAGGGTAACAATGTCTATTTCATTCCACTATCTTTTCTACCTCCATGCCCCCTTCCTTTCCCCTCCATCCCTTATCTGCCTTTTTTTTTCTTAAATTTTTTTAGTTGTAAATGGATCTTTTTTCATTATTTACTTATTTATTTATATGTGGTGCTGAGGATTGAACCCAGAGCCTCATGCAAGCCAGGCAAGTGCTCTACCACTGAGCCTTTTATTGACAGAAAATGAGTACTATACAATTGAACAGGCTTCACTGTTGACTGTAGCTGCCTGTATATCTAGAACCAAATATATTTTTCAATTGCATCATGTTTGGCTCAGGTGAGTAAAAGCATTAAGACCATCAATCAGCTGGGTGTGGTAATCCTAGTAACTAAGGAGGCTGAGGCAGGAGGATCCCAAGTTTGAGGTCAGCCTCAGTAACTTTGCAGATCCTAAGCAACTTAGTGAGACCCTAACTCAAAATAAAAAATAAAAAGGGCTGAGGATGTAGCTCAAGTGTCCCTGGGTTAAATTCCTAGTACCAAACAAAAACAAAAACGAAACTATCAATCAGATGTACCTGTTCATCTTATTATACAAAGGAAGAAGAACACATACTGCCAATTTCAAGCTCACTTTACAGAGAGTTCCAAATGCCACACAGCAGCTTTGACATATGTCAATTTATCCATTACATGGAAACTTAAGAATATGACAAAGGCTGTAAAGGTCTGATTAACAGCAGTCTCAGGTTGGGGTTGTAGCTCAGTGGTGGAATGCATGTGTGAGGCCTGGGTTTGATTCTCAGCACCACATATAAATAAATAAAATAAAGGTCCATCAAGAACTAATAAATAAATAAATAGAGCCAGTCACTTAGAAACAGAGAGATTATTTTTGGATATAAACTGGAGTACTCATTCTACACAAGTCCTTGGGCTCACAAAACTCTTTGAATTACTCAATGTCTTGGGAGCAATAATTTCTAGCCAGCCAATTTTTCAGCTACATTGCACTTCAGCCACAATTCTCTCCCTCCCACACCCTGCTCCTTATATTGCTGCTTTGTGGTTACCATAGTAACTGGGACCTCAGAATATGATACAAATGATAGAAACTTGAGAGTCTTCTTTCTATTTTGCTTTACCAAAGTGAATTCCACTTTGGGAGCACAGCAAGTAACTTGAAAATGTCCATCCTAAGAAGACGACTACACAAATAAGGCTAAGAAAGATGATGAAACTACGAACTTCCATTTATTAAGAATTAAAAAATCTGACATATTCAGCTATTCACACCTTTTTTCCTAGATGATTTTTACTTGACACTAAACCAAAAATGAACAAATCAAAACTAATAGTATAAATTGTAGATTTTAAAAGGTCACTAACTTGTTATAGCTTCTTCTCTTTAGAGGTAAGATTAGTTCTGAATCATTTACATCTGAGCTGACCTAGGAATTAACTAACAAACTGATGTAGTATGTGTTCTGAGTTTAGGTCTCTAGAGACCTTGTAACTTCTACTTCCATTCTCTTAGAACCTGCTGTTGGTTATCATACAAGAGGCTAACCCTGGCTTGTTCAACATGGTAGCAACAGCAGGTTCTAGTCACATTACTGAGTCTAGGTGTGGTAGGTAGACTGTGAGAAGTACTTATGAGCGGCAGCAGCAGCGGCAGCAGCATTTTCTTCCTAATATGAGTACTACAGGCACTTCAAAGCCTACACAGACATTTAGAGAAAATGGCAGGTACTGATATTGAAGCAATGTTTTCGAGGCTCCTTACAAGAAGGATAAGAAGCTAGACGTGGTTGCACATACCTGTCATCTCAGCTACTCAGAAGGCTGAGGCAAAAGGATCACAAATTCAATGTAGCCTAGGCAATACAGTAAGATCCTGTCTCAAAAAGAAAGAAGGATAAGAACAAGTTTGGCAGTGCTAATGGCCATGAAGAAGAAGATGCAAAAAGAGGGAAAAAACAAGTTATAGTCTTGAAAGAAAAAGAAGCAAAGTAGAGCTGGAGAAAGGAAAAGCAAAAGCCTGGAAAGGAAGTAAAGTAGCAAAAAAGAAAGGAACCCTTTAAGAAGTTGAAATTAGCCAGGCACAATGGTGTAGCCTCTAATTCCAGTAACTAAGGAGGCTGAGGCAGAAGGTTAGGGGCCAGCACTGGCAACTTAATGAGACCCTGTCTCAAAATAAAATATAAAAAGGGCTGGAAGTATAGTTCAGTGGTAGAGTACCTCTGGGTTCAACTTCCAGTTTAAAAAAAAAAAAAAAGTTAAACTCAAAGATGATGAAGCCATTACAAAGTCCCTATTCTGTATAAAAATTTAACAGTGCCAGCTGAGGAAAGACTGGGTTGCCTCAACATCAAATTCAACAGATGATGTTCCTGAAACAAAAGACCATTCAGAAAAGAGCTCTGTAAGGGAACCTACTGATAATCTAACTCCAGAGGAAAAGATGCAAGGACAGTTTTCTGCAGGCAGCTTGCAGAGAATTCAAAGGAGGAAGGTGAAAGAGTTTCTCTAAAGCAGGAAAGGTTTGAGATGTGAGGATGATTTCTGATAGAAATTCAAGATGCTCCAAAGGAATTGCATATGTAGAGTTTGCTGATGTTAGCTCAATGCCTCTAGTAATAGGATTAACTAACCTGAGTTTTAGGAGTGCCAATCATAATACAGGCATCACAGGCAGAAAAAAACAACAACACAGCAATGGCCAACAACTTACAAAAGGGAAATATTGGACCTAAAGAGCTTTATTACCTTTAAAGGCTCATTATCTTTAAACATAACTGACAATGTGCTTTGGGCGATCTTAAGCCTTTCAGACAGAATTAAAGTATGTAGCTCGTGATGGACAGTGAAATACATCAATCTAAATAATTTTCTGACCTAAAATATGCCAAGAAGGCTTTGAAACAACTTATGGATTAGATCTAGCAGGAGGGCCAATGAAAGTTGTTCATGTCAATAAATATGCTGATGCTTCTAATGCTAGTTCGTTTCTGGTCAGTGATGAACATGACAGGCCTAGAATTGACTTGGGAAAAATGGGTCAACATCAAATTAACAGCAAGATGTGTAGAGGGCACAGGTTTGCATATTCCACCAGCAGCACAGCAAGCTCTACAAATATATATATATAGTAATATGTTTATATTAATCCTGTCCTCCTCAGTATTCACATCCACAAATTGTCAGAAAAAAAGTGGTAAGGGGAGAAAGGTGACTCCTAAACCATATAGTTTTTAGTCATTCTCCTGAAAGTCTGTAAGAGTAGCATTTGGAAAACTTGGACTTAGGGGCTCTAGACTATGAAGCAGGATCTGGAAACAGTAGACTATTGGCTATCCTGGCACACAACAGCAACCAAGAGGCTGATCAAATATATAGTCTGAGAAATTCAGGATTTTTTCCTCCTTTTGGTGGTTGCTGGGGATTGAACATCAGGGTCTTACACAGGCTAGGAAAGCACTCTACCACTGAGCTACATTCCTAGCCCTTGGAATTCTTTTAAGAAATGCTTATCATAACAAAATAAGCCAATCTCAAAGAACCAAAGGCCAAATGATTTCTCTGATACATGGATCCTAATTCATAATTAGGGGTGGGGGGGAAGATTAGAGGTACTTTGAATTAGACAAAAGGGAGTGAAGGGAGGGGAAGGGGTATGGGGGTTGGAATAATAGTAGAATGAATTGGACATTATTACCCTATGTGCATATATAATTACATGACCTTGTAACTCTACACCATGTACAACCAGAAGAATGAGAAGTTGTACTCCATTTATGTATGATGTGTCCAAATGCATTCTACTGTCATGTATAACTAATTAGAACAAATTTTTAAAAATTTAAAAAATGCTTATCATTGAAATGCAAAGCATTTAACAGAAGGAATTTAAAATTCAGTTATTTAGGAGAACCTTAGCACTGAAAGGTAACAAAATGTAAATAACAAGGAGTTCAAAATTTCGTATTAAAAATGAAAAACCTTGGACTGGGTTGTGGCTTAATGGCAGAGCGCTTGGCTAGAATGTGTGAGGCACTAGTTTCAATTCTTCATACCACAAATAAATAAATAAAATAAAGGTCTATCGACAACTAAAAAAATACGAAAGATCTATTTAAAATTTTTTTGTTATAATTGCACAGAAAGCTTTTATTTATTTTCAAATATTTTAGTTGTTGGTGAACACAATAACCTTTATTTTTACATGGTGCTGAGGATTGAACCTAGTGTCTCACGTATGCTAGACGAGCGCTCTACCACTGAGCCACAACTCAGCCCTATTTGTTTATTTTTATGTGGTGCTAAGGACTGAACCCAGTGCCTCATATTTGCTAAGCAAGTCCTCTGCACTGAGCTATAGACTCAACTCCTAAAAATGAAAAATCTTACCTGGGTAAAGTTTTGTTTTGTTTTGTTTGGGCAGTACTGAGACTAAACTGAGGGTCACTTTAATAAGATAACATAAAATACAATACTTCAAAAAGTATTAGGAATGAAATTCAAACTCTTTGGTCTGATCCCTGGAGCCTCTCCAGTCCCATCTGTTTCCCTACTATCCCATATTCACATTCCAGCGATATCAAGTTACCAGAATATATCACACTTTTTCAAAAAGTTAAGGGAGCCAGCTTAAAGGAACTTCCAGTTGCTAAACTATAAAGGATGGATAGATAGATAATAATTAATATCAAATACAATTAAAATGATACATAGGAGATAAAACCTAATGTGAAATGTACTGAAAAAGTTCTAATGCCAAGAAGAGTAACTCTAATAAGTCACTTCATTTTTAAAATTGAGTGTATAAAGGAGTACTGATAAGCAAAAGCCATTAAAATATAATATCTGTTTATAAAGTCTGATTGGATAGTTGTTTCTGTCTCTGTAAGTAGAAAAGGATGAATACAGGGAATTGTGAATAAGCAAACCAGATCTTGCAAAAGTAGAAACCATATCAAGAATAAAAGGACTGATCAGCACGAGCATTATTACATAATAATAAGGTAGAAAAATTAAACAACAATTGGAGCTGGGAATGTAGCTGAGAGGTGGCGCACTTTCCCTGTATGCTTGAGGCTCTAGGTTTGATCGTCAGTATTACAAGAACAATAAATAACTGTCGGGGCTGGAGTTGTAGCTCAGTGGTAGAGTGCTTGCCTTGTACACGTGAGGCACTATGTTCGATTCCCAGCACCACATATAAATAAGCAAATAAAATAAAGGACCATCAACAACTAAAAAAATATTTAAAAAATTACTGTCAAAAGTATCCAACAATTAATCTGTGCCAGTGATCACCTAAACACAAAAATCAATTAGCAACAAATTTAATTGTTACAGTCCAAAATTTATAGGACTGGAGATACAGCTCAGTGATAGAGCACTTGCCTAGTATGCACAGGGCCCTGGAACCAATCTCCAGTACAACAAAAACAAAACAAACAAAATTATAAGTTATCCAAATCCCCTAAAAAGGAGAACTAAAGATACAAACTAGATTATGCAACTTCTCAGAATGAACGTTATAAGTGGCTCTATTAATAATACTAAAATATTAATAAATCATACACAGATTCTAATAATTAGACTATGCCAATATATAACAGCAGGATAATAGGTTACATAATACTGGCTAAGCAAAATCTAAAGAATATATCATTTTAGGGAAAACTCCAAGGAAAAAACACATCATTACAGGAAAAACTAAAACTCAAAAAAAGTGTGGTCAGGCATGGTGGCACGCTCCTGTAACCCCAGCGGCTCGGGAGGCTGAGGCAGGAGGATCACAAGTTCAAAGCCAGCCTCAGCAATGGTGAGGCACTAAGCAACTCAGTGAGACCCTGTCTCTAAACAAAATACAAAACAGGACTGGGATGTGGCTCAGTGGTTTAGTGTCCCTGAGTTCTATCCCCAGTACCAAAAAAAAAAAAAAAAAAAAAAAAAAAGATTACTATAGCTCTATAAAGATTAAAAACAAAAACAGCTCTATGAAGATTAAAAACAAAAATAAGAGGTACGGATATAGCTCAGTGATAGAATGCTTGCCTAGCATGAATGGGGCCCTGGGTTTAATCCCTAGCACCACAAACAAACAAACAAAGTACTACTGGAATACTAGAAGATAAGTGTGACTAATAAGTACCATGTTTACTGGCTAACTTGGGGCGATTAAACTAGTTAAAAGAAACATTAAGTTTGTAATAGCAATTTTAATCCTTAAAGGTATCTAATAAATCTGTAATCAAAGTTTAAACATTTTGTTTAATGTGATTTTATTTATTTACTTTTTTCTTAAAGAGAGAGAGAGAGAGAGAATTTTTTTTTTTTAATGTTTATTTTTTAATTTTCGACGGACACAACATCTTTGTTTTTGTATGTGGTGCTGAGGATCCAACCCGGGCTGCATGCATGCCAGGCGGGCGCGCTACCGCTTGAGCCACATCCCCAGCCCCTTAATGTGATTTTAAATTGGATTTTTTGTTTCTTATGTAGAGTTAGTCCTCTGTATCCACAAGTTCCATATATAGGATTCAACAAACCACAGACGAAATATTTTTGGGAAAAAAATTATGTCTTTACTGAACATGTACAAACTTTTTCCCTTTTAATTACCCTCTAAAAAAGTACCATATAACGACTATTTACACAGCATTTACAGTGTCTCAGATATTACAGGTAATATAAAGATGGTTTAAAGTATATGGGAGAGGTATATAGATTATATGCACATACTATACCATTTTATGTTAGGGAATGAGCATTCAGATTTTGGTATTGGTGAGTGCACATGCTTGTATCCATGTGTCCTAGAACCAATCCCCCACAAATACTGAGGGATATTTGCATATGCATTCAACCATGTAACCCTTAAATAGAATGCAAATAGTTGTAAATGCTCCTCTGCACGTGCAAAAGGACATTATAGAATCTAATTAACATTTACAAGCATTTTCTTTTTTTATTTATTTTTAAATTTGTTCTTTTTAGATATACATAACAGTATTTTTTTTTAAGAGGGAGAATTTTTAAATATTTATTTTTCAGTTTTCGTTGGACACAACATCTTTATTTTATGTGGTTCTGAGAATCGAACCCAGCGCCCTGCACATGCCAGGCGAGTGTGTTACCGCTTGAGCCACATGCCCAGTCCATGACAGTATATTTTTAAAAAATATTTTTAGTTGTAGATGGACACAGTACCTTTATTTATTTATATGTGGTGCTAAGGATTGAACCCAGTGCCTCACACATGCTAAGCAAGTGCTCTACCACTGAGCTACAACCCCAGCCCAGTAGAGTGTATTCTGACATATTATACATACATATATGGAGTATAACTTATTCTAATTAGGATACCATTCTTGTGGTTGTACATGATGTGGCATTTCACTGGTGGTGTATTCATATATGAACATAGGAAAGTTATTAAGTCAGCAACTACATCTTGTTTAACTTTACATTATTTACTTCTAGCACATCATTTATGATGTATAGCAGTTTCCCAATAAATGTTTCTTAAATGAAAGCATGAATGATAATTATAAAACCCAGCAAACAAATCAAACTCCAATCTTACCTGTTTTTTTTTTTCCTTTTTGACCTGGAACGGGTTCTAAACTATCTTGGCCTTTTCTCATTAACATGGTAAGTGATGCATCATAAGCTCTGAACAGGTCCACAACCTCATGTAAGGCGACATCTGTTATCAGATCACAGCTCAGGACCAGCACATCTGTCTGTCAAATGAAGAAGGAAAAGTACATCACAAAGAACAATGGATCACACAAATCATCCTCAGACAAACTTTTAATGGCTTAGAAGCACAGAAACCAGACAATATTTTTGAACCTTTTTAAACAGCAAAACAAGTAAAATAAATGGGTTGTTCTGATAGAACTGTATGGAGGAACATTTCTACTGCCCCCTTGCAAACCTTACTGGGCAGTCCTGAGACACCTTTAGAATCCTGGACTCTAAGAAACACAGTCTGAAAAGTACCACAATGTCTGTTTCCATGACTTCAGGATAAATTATCTTTATAGAACAATCACTTTGCTATAGTACTAGGAAATACCAAGACGAATATAATGTAATGCCCCATTCTTTAGAAACTCAAATTCTAAGTTATAAAAAAGTACAATACAATATCAGGTATACAAAGCACCCATTTAATCTTATAACAATACCATACAAATAGTATTGTTAATATTAATAGTCTTTTTTTTTTAGATGAGGTCTTGTAGCTCAGTGATAGAGCCTGTGCTTACAGGCATGTGAGGAACGGGATTCAATCCCCAACACCAAAACAAATAAACACAAATAAAATTGAACGAATGAATAAGTCAATGAAGAAAAGATTTTTTCATAATGGTGGCAGGAGGGTCCCAAGTTCAAAGTTAGCCTCAGCAATTTAGTGAGCCCCTAAGCATCTCAGTAAGACCCTGTCTCAAAATTAAAAAATAAATAAAAAACAGGCTGGGGAAGTGGCTCATTGATAAAAGAAATCCTGGGTTCAATCCCTAGTACACTCCTCAACAACAACAACAACAACTACAACACCTCAAAGAATGATAGGTAAATATGAACAGAAGTGTTTTTCGTTCCTATGTTAACTTTCAATCAGAGTTAAACAAATAAGGTAAGGAGTTTCCAATCATTAGAAGTACTCAAGAAAACACAAGATTCTTGTAATGATTAATTTATCTAATATTTATTGAGCAATTACTCTATGCCTAGTTAGATCTTATTATGGAGCTTGGAGGAAACTGGGACTAGGAAGTTTCAAATATGAGTGGCTAACCAAGGCTATTTATTTTAAACCAATTTGTAACTATACATTCTACCATTATATATGTTTATCATAAATGCAGAAAACAGAAGTTCCAAAACAATCAAGTAGAAGACAAATTCCTTAAACTGTAATTTAAATCAACTACACCAATGTTTCTCAATAGTAAACCTACAGTTTCCCAAAGTGTCTGATTCCTGATTCCCACAGCCCTTCCTGAGTCCACCAAGGCAGCTCTTCTTTTTATCTTTTAGGTTTCTATAGAAACACTGGCTTTGAAAATTGGTTATGTGACTTTTAAAAAGTCTGAAAAACACTAAATTATTCCACTCAAAGGAATAAAGAGATTATTTACATGGAAATTTTTTGTGATTTTAATTTTCCTAAAATTTTAACTTAAAATCAAGATTCCTTGCTTTGGGTGGGAAAATGGAAGACTTCAACACATATCCCTCTCCAAGACTGTGCTAGGAATGGAATTCAGTTGCACCCCTGGACCTAACTAAGCTCATAGTCTTTTTATTTAGAAAGTGAGACTCAACCATCAGAATGCCTTGCCTTACTGCCTATTTCTGAAAATAGAATCCCTATAAATATCATATTTTCAGGAAAAAAATTTCTGAAGTCTACAATTCATCATTCAGAACCACCAAGCATAAACAAATCAGATAACACATATGCAAGGTAAAAAATAAACAGTGTGTAGAATCCCACTTACAATAACACTTAGAAAAGCAGGGCATATTGGCCATTATGAAACAGATACATAAAATTATCACTACAATGGTACAGAACATGCCCCTTTTCATCAAAATGAAAAGACAGTTTCCTAAGGAAAAATCTCCTATTTTCCTATAATGACCAATTATTACAAGTTGTTCCATAATTAATTGAATTAAGTGTACCTCAAAGTAAAGAAAATGGCTCTAATGCAATGTCTCTTAAGTGGTGACAATGCTGTCTTAGAGAATAAATGCTATTGTTATTCAATATCTGCAGAAGTGTTTAAATCCGTCAGAACCATGAATGCTGAACAAGTTTTCATAATTGTGAACAGACGTGTAGGCTCATTTCTTTCTTTGCTTTTAAATGACTTTTTGCTCAACTGAATACAAAATCTCCAAGGATCACAAGGATCAGATCCCTCCCCTCAATGTCTGGTTGCCATCTGTTCTCAGAGTGAAAAGAAAGGCATTAGTCTGAAAGAGGAGGCCCAGAGATTGAGACACTGATGTTGCTCCATTAGCTCCTCTCCTGCCTTTGTCCCAGAGAATACGCTATACAAGAGTCACTGAGATTTCCATCCTATATGCAACCCCACCACTTCCAAAGGAAGGTCTTTGCTGTCTCATCAATGTACTTGTTTCCAAAGCTGGAAACCCTGGATCAAACAAACAAAATTCTAAAAGAAAAACAAAATCATCCTTATACCTTCATAATACCTTCTATCTGTACATTTTTATAGAAGTTATAATTGGAAAAAAATGACTATTGCTTAGATTTTTATTCTAATAATACAAAGCCCATTCTAGAAATGCAAATGGCCTTCTACTAACTGGAGCCCAGAGACACAAACTGAAAAAGTGATAAGATCCAGAAGTATTTTTGATCATGTGTGACCACAGCCATGAATAAACATGGACTATCTGGACTATGAAGTAATTGTGTATCTGAAATGCAATCAATCTCAATGTTCTCTGAATGTGCCAACCCTCAGCTGCTTTGTGTTTCAAGGGAACAGTTCTTTTCTAACACCAACAGCCAGTCTCTTCTGCAGAAACGAACTAGAATCTCTGAAGATCTCCCTATTCAATATTCCACAATCCTCATTATGCTTTATTCTAAAACTGTGAGAGAAGTCAGGGCATTGTTAAGGGCAAAAGGCACAGCTCTGCATGATAACAAATATGCACTATTGACAGTGCAGAAACATACAAGGTCTTCAAGGGAAGGCAGCACTTTAGCTATTTAGGGAGAAATCAAGATACCCAGGAATTCAAAAAACAAACTGTTGCCAGTTAGTTTTGACTAAAGCAAACAAATTAAGCTCAGAAAACCCAATTACCAAGTCATGGCAAAGCCCAGAAATCTCTCACTACAAGAACATTTTCCATCAAGCCAAAACCATTGAGTAAAACTACAGGGGAAAAAATGCTAAATCAGAAAACCGGATGTGTGTGTGTGTGTGGTGGTAGTCGGGGGCGGTGAGGAGAGCTACTGGGAATAGCCTCTTTTCTTTTCCTGGCAGCTGTTCCATGACAGATTGTTATAAATAACACAATCTGGCAAACAATTTCCTACAGCAAGTAAAAAGAAAAACACACTCCACTGGGGAGTGGGGGGCGGGGGACACCCATCAGGGCATGGTAAACTACCATGCTTTTACCCACCCAGCACTTTCACAAACAATGGATATGGTCCAAATGACCACCCTCCACTCTGCCCAAGCCCATATGGAACAAATGAATTCAGCTACTTGGTGTGACTACAAATGGTCACAATTTACATTTTCTTATGGTCCAACCCAATCCAATCCTCAAAAGCAGTTTGTGTGCTTTAGTAAACTTCAACAGTTAATTTAGATTTGGTTAAAAATGATTAGAAAAGTTCCCAATCTGTAGTCCTCAAACTGCACAGCAAAGAAGGTGCCCCTTTGTTTGCACTGAGGTTGGGGCCATAGGTGCAGGGAGGAAGGACCAACTCAGTCTGTAAGTAAGAAATTTGACAATCTTTAGGCTCAAGCCGAATGCTCTCCTTGTGTTTCTTAGCTCAATCATAGAACCACTACCAACCAGGATTAAAGTTGGCTTTGAGGGTATGGACAGTGATGTGCTAGATTTACAGTTTTAAAATAGAAGCTCAATATTTATAGTTCCTTCATCTTCCAAAGGAAGTTTCCCACTTCAGGTTAAGTAAAAATTCTATTTCTTTGTAGTAGACTTCTACTCATCTTTCCAGTGTGAAGCTAAAAAAGAAGTAACTGAGAATATGTTAGTTAAAAACAGGTTCTCTAACACTAAAAACACTAGTCATTTCACTTCAGGATTTAGATATATACAATATAATTTGTTTCCAAATTGCATGATTTCAAATGTCTTGGAATAGAGAAAAAACAAAAGCCTTTTTTGTTTTTGTTCTCTGAAATCAGACCTTTACTAAAATATATTAAATTTTATTTTATTTGTTTTTGAAAACAGGGTCTCAGTGTTGCTCTGCTGGTCTTGAATTCATATACTCATGAGTAGCTGGGATTATGAGCACACCATCAAGCATGGCTAAACAGAATTTATATTAAAATTTTGATATTTTTTCTTTGGTAAGTGACAAATATCTCGTAGGATAAAAATACTGTTACTCTCTAAGTCTAGGGAGAAAAAAGAATAAGAAAACATTACAAGACCATAGAACATGCTCTTATAATTACATTACATATTTTCTGCTTAAATTTGAATTTTATCCTGGAGCATGACATAGAAATATTGTCCAGTTTACTCAGATACCATGAAGGTTAGAAGATTAGAGGAGGATGGTTGAGGGCTGTGATTATGGGGACTTTATCACAATGAGAAAAAGACAGCTAATTAGTTAAATAAAGTAAAATAAAATGAAATCAGAGTTTAATCATCCCAAAAAGGCAACTTCTAAAATTTGTTTCTTATTAATTCCACATGGGACCTAGTGTAAGTAAAGCCTTCTTCAGGCCTCAGTTTCCTTGCCTACAAGAGAAGAGGGCTACGTCATCTCTGAAGTCTTTATGGTATAAAATTATATTATTACAAGAATCAATGTATTCTCAGTTCTTTATCTAGAGCTATGCTCTGGGTTAAAGAGGCAATAATGAAGGTGACCTTTAGGTTCTGAATTTCTCATCCAATTCCATGTATCATGAAAGATTCAAACATTTTAATTTTGATGCTTGGCAGTTTAATCAAGTTTGAAATTTTTTCT